CTGGCGTGACATCGATTGAGGAGCGGGAAGTCCGGGCGATCCGGTAACGGGGTCCCCATTATGCCCTAGACGTTTAGTTTAAAGACTCGGCAGCGTCCTTCCTATTATCCTTGGGGGATACTGGGTATTCCCAGGGGGAGAACTCAGAAAGGATTTTTATCGTGAACTGTGTCTTTAAGCAATAACAAAGCCTTTTGTTGTTGATCAATCCCGTCTGAGGGATGCGTTTGCATGCAATTTTTTTCAAAATTATTGTGGCGTTCAGAATTCGTATGTAGCTTATAAAATGGATTTGTGTACTGGTGTGTACATGCACACACTAGTACACAAATCTCAGCACTTTTGAATTCCCAGTCTGGCACCACCTAGTCGACCTCGAAGGAATGGAAGGCTTCATTGGTCTCGGCTAGAGTATGGAGATTTTCATACAGTGCGTGTGATAGTGTGCCGATTGTTCGCACGATAACGTGAAGAAATTGGCTGCTTTCATAGTCCACCGGCCGGGGGACTACTCGGCCGGCGGTAACGACAAAGATTTAGTCGTAAACAACGGGCAAGCGATGCCCCCGGCTGCCGGACTATGAAAGCAGGGGTCCGGAATCCTATCCCTGAAAACGGCATCGCGCACGCCGCACCCGCCCCGTATCACAGGATTGCGATGGAAGATTGGAGCGCGCCATTTGTGAGGTAGGGAGTCCTTTAATTATTTGAATTGACTGACCGCTCTCTTCAATTCCAGTGCGATCTTGATCGTCGCTAATGTAGGAGAAGAAGTCATTCTAATTAATCAGGTGATAAACATAAAAACGAAGAAGAAACAGTAAAAATGATCAAAGTCAACAAAAAAAGAAAGGCAATCAACAAAAAATTGCATCCTATCGACTGGCGGGAGGTGGGGTGAGTACGGTAGTTGCAGTGACATTTGCAGCATGCCCCAAGGGAGAATGCCGCATTCGGGGAGTAGTTCCGTTAACCATGAAAGCAGCCATTGACACTCGAGCGGCCGCGGTCGTCGCACCTGCTGCGTTCCGAAAAAATTCCAATTAGCGAGTAGTGGGTGGTGTGATTTAGCATGTATAGGTCGGATCTGAATACAGTGTCTTCGTGGGATTTGAGTTCGTTGCCGCAACACTTCCTCCAAGGTACTGCTGCGCGCTCAGGTGTTTTTGTAAGATCGAGTTTGCCCACAACTCGCCCTCCTTGCAACGGTTTCGCATCGCATACTGCTGCAACATCACGTCAAAAGTATCTTCCAGCCCCGGATCCCCACTTTTTGAGATCTTGGAAGGAACAAGTTCACAACCGCAGAGCACTAATTCGATTTGTATTGAAAGTTTACAGTCTTCGTAATACAGATCTGAACTTGATGGTTGGCCTGGCCCTGGGACCGCTAGTTCGACGACTCGAAGCATTGGAAATGTAATATATCAAGAGAACTAGAGAACAACCGACAAGTGATAGAAACCAGTTTTTCAGGAAATGACAATTTGCATCATTCTCCCACCTGCGGATGATTCGAAAGTAGAGACAAAAAGGAGGACAAATAACAAGGGCAACGTACGAAACAAAGAACACCGATTTAGTCGAGAACGAACACCGGTCGAACTTACAATTAGATGCGAATTCGCATTTATGTATTACTCTGCATATATTCAGTTGGTAAGAGTACCAGAAACCCCTTATGGATTATTCCTTCTTTTTGTAAGAACCCACCGTTCCTCATAAAGGAAAATTACTGCGAAAAACATGGAGATAGATCGAGAGAGAGTAGGAAGGGCGAGTGATGAAATGTAATGCATCGAAGAAGACTGAAGAAGAAGAAAAGAGCAAAACGAGAGACGGTAGAAAGGAAAGAGTAAATTGAAGAGGATGATAAAGGAAATTACTCGTGGGGACTCAAAAATAGGTGAAAATGCATACATAGAAAGGGAAAGGATATGCTCATATACCCAGACTCAGGTCAATCCAAGGCCTGTGGTTAAGGTCTGAATGGGTCAGAGCGAGCCATCGCGGTCACCTCATCGAACCTATGAAGCTGCAAATCGGGTCAAACAGTTTATTTTTACAGGTCGAACATGAGAGGCTCTGGCACTTGGTTTAAGGGTCATACTCGTGACCTAGTTCAGAGTAGTGGCATCATTGAAACCTCCTGACCCACATATCTTCATTTCATGCGTGCATGAGGCTATAAGCTATGATCAAATGAATAGATACATCAAAGTACTTAAACTCAGAAAAAAGCCATGTATATCGCGGGGGATATAAGGTAGTATTACCCAAACAAGTATTCATAAATTTTCGTAAAAATGCTGGTATTCTTGTTGTTATTAGGAATATTTATTGCTCATCATACTATGCCTCGCCTTTTGGTGCTACTGACGCAATACTTCGTAAATCTCATTAACAATAAGGAGGTGACAGCTCGGTATTTTGGTGTCAATTTTTTCTTACATTCAGTTGACCTTGCTGGTAACTGGGGGAGCTCCTGACAGTAACTGTAAAATGTCATCTTAAGGTCACTCATAACGAGGTGGCTCTCTTCGAAGTTTTATTTTTTGCTTTTTCAAGCCACTCAATGCGGAATCGCTTGGCTGAATGGCACTTTTCCTTGAGACTCCATCAAAACATCGATGAGTGAAAGCTTTTCAGCTCAAATCACGAAAGGAAAAAATCTTGTGAAACAATCCCGCAACTTTTAGGAACCAGATCACCAATTTCATGAGCCGATTACGTACAATGTATTACCAGTAACCGCGACATGAAATGCTTATCACTTCGCGTTTGGGGCAGAATACCACAACGTGATTTCGTACATAGGAGCTAGGCTCAAGCGAGGTCATATGAGTTGCTGCAATTTACTGCCCATTACCGAGTGCCATTGAGTCAGACGCTATTGTTAGGATGAAGTGCCAACGAACTAACAGGCAATGATGAAAAATTACAGACCCACGCCCGATTCCTATGTCAGGATAGCGCTTGAACTTAGGGGGATTTCTTTCAAGGATTAGTGATCTTCCAACGGGGCTCGCCCCGTTCATGGTCTGATTCCTCATCGGTTCACCGCTCGGAATCCAATATTTCCTTCAACAAACTGGCTAATAAATACGCTTTCAGGCTAGCTTTCTACTCTGGAATATTCGTATAATTTTTTAACGCATCATGGGTTGGTCGAGTGGATGTCTGGGAGACTCATCCGGTCTTGACGCTTTTTTACAGCTTTTTGCAGCAAATTCAGGATCAATCCCAAGCAAAAACCAAGAGCATAAGTTATATTCCAACATTCAAGGTGGCCACAAACCTGAACCAAGATCTGTCAAAATATAAGTAACAAAATAAAGAGATGGTGGAAATTCTTCTAAAAATTGGATGCAAAGAAGAATTCGTAATTAATAGTGTAGTTAGGTGCATATATAATAGAAGTAAATTTATTTTTTAAAAGTTTTCTATTAAGGATAATTTCAATAGAATCACCTATTTAGTAGATGGAATTTTGAAACAGAAATAAGCATTTCCAATAGTATAACTTCACATTCATTCCTGTCCTTGATTCAATTAATATCTTTACCCATTCCTTTTTCCCCTAAACCCAAAGCACTGATGAGCCTCAGGGAAAGGTGGAGACGGTGGTTCGTTTGGTGAAGAGGCGAAACGAGCCATCTTTAGTTTGTATGATTATTTTTTCCTTTTTATGTGTTTGCTTATTGTCGTTTTTATGCTCCACTGACTTCAATTTGTTACACTTTACTTATATGGATCAATCCGCCAAAAGAAATTAGCTAGATGGAAATTCTTCATCGATGTGCTGAGGCAGCTGAAATGATTGATGAATCAACGCTATTGCACTGCTGGCTCCTCCGAAGTTTGGGATCTTTTTCGCTGCACACCTTGGGTGAAGTACCAGCATTTATGATTTATTACTGTGAAGTAGGTTCTATGCTCGCTTTCCAGCAAGTTGCTCTGAAGGAATACTGACCCAGTGTGGTGACTGAAAGATAGCCAAAACACCAGAGGTATGGTGAAAGGATTTCTAAGAGTTCCTGTTGCTTAGGATTGATCACTGCTCAGGGTTCTAGCATGAATCCTGATAAAAAGTAAATCTTATTTTCGCATCTTTTGCCCTGATTGCTAACTCTACTAGCGCAGACTGAGGCTGTGAAGCTATTTCGGCCTTATAAGGAGGAATGGTCGCTGCAAGTCTTATCTGAAAGAGCTGTCACGTAATCGCCATTCAGCCATTTGTTCATTCGCGTGCTCTTCGTTTAATTTCTCATCTGAAACATGCTGATTATGAAAATCGAAGCGTGCCCTCACAAGCAAATAATAGCCACTCTTTCGAGTGAATCGACGAAAGACTTTTATCGCCTCCCGCTTTGCTTTTGTTTCCTCTTTGTGGCTGTCTTTTCTCTGATTATAAAACATTATCATCCTCTACTCGTTATATTTTCCTTCAATAAAAGGATTGATCCCATAATCTCTCGCAATCTTTCGGTGTCTTTTGTAATTGTGTTGTTATGGCGACTNGACGAAAGACTTTTATCGCCTCCCGCTTTGCTTGTGTTTCCTCTTTGTGGCTGTCTTTTCTCTGATTATAAAACCTTATCATCCTCTACTCGTTATATTTTCCTCCAATAAAAGGATTGATCCCATAATCTCTCGCAATCTTTCGGTGTCTTTTGTAATTGTGTTGTTATGGCGACTGTTTATGGGTCCGAGCCAGCCAGCAATATTCGCAGGCCAACCGGCTAGGCCACACAGACGAGGGGAAGCGGACGAGCGACGCACACATACGCACACACCTGAGAGTGGGCGTGGCGACGCTCGGTCGGTTGCCATGCTATCTGTGCGCGTGAAACGAACACCGCCTCTGCTCCTCGCCGTCGCCGTTCTTCTTGCTCCTCTTCTTCCTGCAGAATCATCATTATCATCTCTTTTTATTTCATGTCGGCTTGTCACTAACGTGTGACTAATCGACGTCTAACAACTCCACCACTAGGCCGACTATGTTCGGCTATGATGACTCCTACGGCTATTCGACTGCACTGCTTGCGGTCGCCCCTTATGCAACACAACTGGCTTTGGCTCCCATCACATGGATCTTCTTCTTCCCATTATTCGCTCTACCTGCCATCTCATTAATGCTGTCCGTCGGTAGCCTATCCACTCATGGACCAGTGCTCACCTACAAACGATTGGCTCCTATTGCTTCCGGTAATTTCCTTTTTCGCTTCATTGCCTTCGATTTATCAATCTACTGAAGAGAACCAGCTGGTTTCCCTTTTCTTCTCCAATACTGTTTCTATGGCGGTCACCATCAATTGGCAACGATTGAACACGCGCTGTCAGTCTACATCGACTCGTTGACGACTGATTGATCGGCGCAGATTCATGAAATTGAAAAAACCATAATCGATTTTAACACCTCATAATTTTGCGCGAAACTGACCTCAATGGGGCCGAACTATGTACGACATTGGGATAACTTTTGGCTGTAGTGGGGGTGGTGGCCGCCATAGTTTGGTGTCACCGGCTCGCTGAAGGTCAGGTGGTTCGATCAAGTGGCTGCACCTCAATATCCTTTAAGAGTTCGCTCTCTCGTTACCCGTATGTATTTATATCTGCATAGTGAATTGTACTTTGGTAACGTTATGATTGATAAAGGGAAATCGATGAATAAATGGGTGAACTGAATAACCTCACCCAGAATCGATTAAAATTTATTTCTTTTTTTTTGGCGGTGGGCGAACTCATCGGTTTCTCCCTATTCATTGAAATGTTTCCGTGCAGAACGACATGCATTCGATTTGTTTTCGATGAATACTCCCTTTCTGAATTGCTAATGCTTTGTTAGTATCCTGCACCTTAGAATACTTCACAGTACTAATAAATCGCGTAGTACTAGTGCCGTAAATCTGTATCGTGAAATATCACAGATGAACAATTGACTGCAAGATTCTCCGCTTCGAAGGGGTAATCTGACAATGAGAGCGAATGTCAAAGTTGTTCCTAATTCGATCAGATAT